GGGGGGGGGGGACACTATTCAACCCAATATGGCACTGAATTTGTTTGTTCATGTCATTCAACTTGATCCTATAAAGTCTGTTTAGCTAACACAGATGTCCTTTCCATTTTCTCATGTATCCTCATTGTTTTTCTAAAACATTACATTCATTTTCTGTACCTAACACCTGGGATGTCAGGTTTTGATCATCCATTTATTTCTCATTCTTGATATCATTCTCCCTTTCTTGTATTCACTTGCTTCTCTAAATAAGGTTTTCACATTTTCTTCTGCCTGCCAAATGTTGTATCTTCTCTAGAATATTCTTTGGAACAGAAGCATGGCAAGCGCTGAGAGCCAGAGGCTTCAGAGACCACCACCGCCACCATCTCTTGGCTTGTCCAGCAGGCCCTGCAGCTCTGGGGTGGGGGGGGGGGCATCTTAGCTCTTCTGTTCTTCATTAAGGCTCCACCTGTCAGGATGAGCCCAACCCTGGTGGAAGGGGCTCTTTCCTTAGATTTTAAGAATCATGTAAGTTTGGAAAATGCTGAGTTACACAAAGTTAAACTGCTGTCTTTACTACAGAAACTATCAGAGCAGTCAATATGATAAATCAGACCTGAAGTATTTCCCAAATTTATGTGCTTTTGAACCCTTTTTTACTGTTTTTATTTATTTATATTTATTTCTGAGAGAGAGACAGCATGAGCAGAGGAAGAACAGAGAGAGAGGGAGTCACAGAATTCAAAGCAGGCTCCAGGCTCTGAGCTGTCAGCACAGAACCCGACACAGGGTTTTGAACTCATGAACTGTGAGATCATGACCTGAGCCGAAGTCAGATGCTTAACTGACTGAGCTGCCCAAGCACCCCAAATTCCTTTTTAAAAGCAGTGTCAGCCTTTGAGGAACATTGCTAAGTGAAACCAAAATTCACAAATTCTAGAGTAGTATGTACCTGGTGACAGAGGAACTGAAAGTCTTTGGGTACATACATACCCTAAATGGGTATATCATGTTCATCTCTCTTCACAAAGTATCAAATTTATTTTTGTAGGATGTGTGAATAAACATTATTTAAAACCTACAAAAAATTCCTTTGAGTATTTATCATGTGCACAAGACAAAATGTCATATTTTAATTAATATAGTTATTCAAAATCAAGTCTTACATTTTGTAGGTTTATAACAAATAGCACCATCCCTAACAGACTTGCACTTTTCATGTGTCCAAATTCCTTTTGGATCCAAGACAACACAATTTCCAGCAGATTTTTTATCTTTCCATGGGATGTAGTCAAATGTACTGCCATCAGACCATTCAAAACTTGATTCACTTCCCTGTTTTAAGAATAATAGAGATAAAAAAGCTTAGCACATTTTTAGCATAAGAATTGCTTTTAATTAAAAAAAAATAATACAGAAAACCTGAATCCAGACAAAAGAATGGTCAAAAAGAACAGTAAGAAGAATATATATACTTTAAGAAATATTGGAATGGATTGTTAATTATTTGCTTACAATTGTTATAGGTCTGGACCTATTTGTAAAATCAGGGATTTACTTTTGACGCATTGATTTGAGACATTTACTCTGGTGCAATTTAAGTAGGACTTTAAATTTATAGACAGTTACTATACTCTGTCCCTAGATTTATTTATTTTTTTTTTTTAAGGATGAGTTTATATAATACTTGAAATTAAATGATGTGCAAATGGCTTCCATTTGTCACAATTACAGATTTATATTAGCAACCTTCATATTATTCTGAATATCGTTTTTTATGTTTTATAGTTCTGTGGTTTGTGTCTCTGGATACATGTTTCATATTACAGAAGCCATCAAGCAGCAGGGGTTTGGAAGAGGAAAATATTTCCCAAGAAATTCATATGGGAAGATTACTTTTGATTTTTCCTTTATTCTATAAACCTAATTTGTCATGCTTTTTTTAAATTTTCTCCACTTTGTTCTAAAGATTATTTAAATTAGGTTTTCAATTCTAATCTCTATAGTAGCCTATTTCTTGCAGGGGGGGCAGGAACTGGACATTATTATAGGTACATGAATATACTAATTAATAGGATTCAAATAGTGGCACAAAAGATGTATTTACTACCAAAACGTTATCTCAAATAGTGCTCATTTGTAGATGAAAGTGAGAAGAAAATACACATATTAGTCCTAATATTAAGAATTTTATTTGACATCTTATATAAATTTTTGTGTTAATCTCACTATAATCCTATATTAAGGAAAATATTATCACCTCAGTTTTACCAATGAAGAAATTAACTTCCAAAGATTAAATGACCTGCTCATGATCACCAAACATAAATGGAAGACCTACCACTAATACCAGAACTCGGGTTTTTCTGATTCAGTGCTATTCTTTTTTCCCAGCTTTGCAATTAGTCTGCCCCAACTAGGTAACAGAGAGGTGTTGTTGAGATATTAATCTACTGGGCCCTTGGGATGGCCTGGCAGTGTCTAGGGCGGCTGCAGTCCAGGCCATTTGCCCTACTACATTCTACAAATACAATTTTCTATTTAGTTTCTGTTGTAAAAAGATAAGAAAGCACTATGCTATGCAAATTGAGTCCCAGGACTTACTCTGATGTTATACTCTGAATTAATATCTTATGCTCAAATTTCCAACCTTCTAACACATTTGGAAAATTTCTGGAAAACAAGACAAGACTTACATCGTGACTTGAGAGCCCAACCCATAGTGGAAATCCATCACGTTTTACGATATCTTCCAGAAAGAGCTGGCCATTTTGGTCATGAACACTTGCCAAATAACCTCCACTTTGAGAACACATGTTCAATGCTTCATACCATGTTACCTTTTTTTGGATAACATTATAAATACCATCTTCATATGGAATAAACAGTGGCAGAGTAGCATTATATTCTTCCTTGTAGTCAACTATAATATTTAAATTAAGAGTATTAGTGATTAAATTTAAATAATTTAAAATATATATTTTGGGTAAGACTGGACATGCAACCATTTCTAAAGTTAAATAAAACTGGATTTTTCTTATTAACAAGGGAGGTAAAATGCATACTTTATTTTTCGTATTGCCACAACACATATAATAGGTTCTTAAATAATATAGTTGCCTGGTTGATTAAAAAAAAGATATAAACATTGTTTTTCATTTAAGGAACTTACATATTAATTGCAGACATTAAACAACAATACCTGAAATTCAGGCAAAACAATTATCTACTCAATATGTGTGACTGAGTAGAGAAGGAGAGACTCATCTGAGTTAAGAGAGTCAGAAAGCCTGCTTATCAAATTAGGTTTCCAGAGTTTAGGTGAGGTGAATTAGGACCAAAAAGAAATAAAGTAATCAGAAAGCTAAAAGCAAATGAAGAATAATATAACAGTAACAAAATTACAATAGTAACAATAACAAAAGCACAGTGATAAGGGTACTTGAAAGAGGCACAGGAGCCAAGTGAAAGAGCTCCCAATGGCCCAAACTAGAACAATTTTAATAAAATATTAAATAATGTAGTATATCGTATTATAACCCAAAGTATAAAATATATACCATGAACTGATACTGATATAAATAACTGAATAAATTTTAAAATGGGAGAGAACAGAAAAATCTCTTGCGCGGTAGAATTCCAAATAATTTACATACGTACACCCTTCTCAGGAAGGTGGAGAATAACTCTTCAGCCTGTAAATATGTACTAAATATACTGACTTCCTTAAAAAGAGTACAGCATGGAAATGGGGAAAAGAATAACTTTGCAGTGGAGAAAGCTGACAAACACCTAGAGCCAGGTGATCAAGGTTAAAACCAACAGTGGGAAGTCGTGTTGATAGCATATACCCTTCATATGATGTGATGAAAATGACACTTTAATTCTGTGGTTTTTCCTAAACCTCAAGCCCACAACTCCAGTTTAATCATGAGAAAAACATCAGCCAACCTGAAGGGAGACACATTCAACAAAAAACGTGACCAAAAAAATACATGACCAAAAAAGTGCTCCTCAAAACTGTCAAGGTCATTAAAAGCAAGAAAAGTCTAAGAAGTTTTTACAGCCAAGAGAAACCTAAGGAGACAAGATGACTATATTAGCATGGTATCCTGTATAGAATCCTGACTAGAAAAGGGATATTAAGTAAAAATGTTAAAAATCTAAATAACGTATAGACTTTAGTGAATAAGTAATCCATCATATTGGGTTTCTTAGTTGTGACAATTGTACCATACTAACACAAGATGTCAACAATAGGGGATACTGGTTATGATATATATGGGAACTCTCTGTACTGTCTCTGTAACTTTTTTTATAAACAAAAAATCATTCTAAAATAAAAAGTTTGTTAAAGAAGTAAAACAAAGGTGGAAGACTTCTTGTCAACGAAACACCGTAAGTAAAGGTGAAAATGAGGATAAGCATACACTGTACATGGGACAATTAAGACATCAGCCTCACAGAAAAAGAGCCTTATTGAGCCAAGAATGGGGGGAAAAAATCAAGGTTGGAAGAAAGCCTAGAATTTTAGGATAGACAGTGTTTCTAGAAAGTCTTAAAAGCTTACATGGACCCAAAGTAATTGGTAGTAGGGAATCCCTGGAGATTGTTGATGGAAATGGTGTTCCAGAAAGTTATTCTGTGGTACTATGAAGGGAGAAGGTCAGCCTGGATGTTAGCAGAGGTCTTAAAACTTAAAACAGTTTTTAAGCTGTGAAAAATTTTAAACTGATATGCATTTTAAAATAGATTTATTTAAGGAATTAGGCAAATTTAAGAGAAATTTATTTTCAGCCTAGAATGTCAAAACTCTACCCAAACACACTTTCTTATTTATAAAAATCTTCTCCATTCTTCAAGACCCAACCAAGTTTTACTTTCTTCTCAAAGCATTTTGTTGTCATTATTTGTTTTCATTGATCCCTTTTGACTTTCCAACAAATTTAAGCCAGTACCAAATCACCTAAAAGTAACCTACATGAAACAATGATAAAGAATTTCATGCTGTCTCCCCAACCACATTTTACTCCTTGAGATCAAGACCATGACACCAGGAACTGTATCTTTTCCTTCCTGTGTAACTTCCACAGTACCTCTCACAGGACTGAAAATAGAGGAGGCACTCAAAAAATATAGTTGCATGATTCCCACTTGCAGAGCTAATTAGCCTTATGGAGTGAAAATTCTACATTAGCAGACTTACCCATTTCAATTTTACAAGCAAGAATGCTGTTCTGGTTATAGTAAAATATTTCTTCAATAGCATTGAAGGTTTGAATATCCCAGAAGCCATCAGTACTCAAGCCAGCAAAAAAATTGCCATTTTTTATATCTGGTCTTCCTCCTCTCCAATTTGTATATGACAGCATGGTCTTATCAGACCACAGGAGAGAATTATCTAGAGAAGAAACATTTTTTCTACAATTAGAGATTAAATCAAGATTTGAGTTAGAGTTATGAGGTTAATATTTCAAACTCAACTAATTTTCTTTCTTCTTTACCTACTTTCTAAAAAGTTATATAATTATGTATATCTCTTTAAAATATTTTCTGACTATAACAGTAAATTATGTTTATTTTTAATTTGGAAACTACAAATTAGAAACATAAAAATTAAAATTTACTTATAATTTCACCATCCTGCAATAACTTTATGCTTACTATTTTTAACCAAATATTCATTTTTACTGTATATATGTTTAATTGCAATGAAAATTAGTATAATTATTTCATTTAAAAAATTAATATATTATAAAACTAGTGACAGAAATCTCTTCTCCGGACCTAAGCCATACACAATTGTGCACATTTATGTCAATCTAATATATATTTGACCTTTTCCTTTCATCATATACAAAATGAACTCAAAATAGATCATAGACCTAAAGGTAAGAGCTAAAACTATAAAACCCTTAGAACAAAACATTGGCATGTATCTTTATGACCATAGGGTAGGCAAAGTCTTCTAGATATGCACAAGTGATAAAAAATAGATAAATTTTATTTCATTAAAATTAAAAAGTTTTGTGCTACAGATTATACTATCTAGAAAGTGATGGGGGGTAGGCACTTGGCTGACTCAGTTGGTAGAACTTACAACTCTTGATCTTGGGATTGTGAGTTCGAGTCCCACATTGAGAGTAGAGATTACTTCAAAGAAATAAAGTGATGGGAGAAAATATTTACAAGTCATTTATTTGACAAGGAACTTATATCCAGAATATATAAAGAATGTTTATTGATCAACAATAAAAAAGACAAATAATTAAAAAATGGATAAAGGTTCTGCGGTGCCTGAGTGGCTCAGTTGGTTAAGTATTTGTCTCTTGATTTCGGCTCAGGTCATGATCTCTGAAGATTCGGGAGATTGAGCCCCAAGTCTAGCTCTGTGCTGACAGTATGGAGCCTGATTTGGATTCTCTCTCCCCCCCCCCCCCGTCCCTCCCCTGCTCACACTCTCTTTCTCTCTCTCTCTCTCTCTAAATAAATAAACTTAAGAAAATACAGTATTAAAACAAATAAAAATAAACAATGGGTAAATGATCTGAATAATGTATTCTCCAAAGATGATATACAAATAGCCAGTAAACACATGAAATTATGTTTAATATTATTAGTTATCAGGGAAATGAAATAAAAACCTCAATTAGATGCCACTTCATAACTACTAGGGTGGCTACAATAAAAAAGAGAGATAAAAAGAAGTGTTGGCATACGTATGGAAAAAATGGGAAGGTATGGAAAATGGGATAGCAGCTTAGAAGAACAGTTTGTCAGTTCTTCAAAGGATTAAAAAAAGACCCAGAAATTCCTCTTCTAGGTATATACCCAAGATAAATGAAAATATACATCTACACAGAAACTTGTACATGAATGCTTATAGTGACATTATTCATAACCAAAAAAGTGAAAAGAACCTAGATGTCCATCAATTGATGAATGGATAAATATGGTATATCCGTACAATAGAATATTATTCAGCCATAAAAAGGACTGATATACTGATACACACTATAGTACTGCATGCATAAATGCTAAGTAGAACAAGCTAGTCACAAAAAGAATCATGTACTGTATGATCTCATTTATATGAAATGTGTAGAACAGGCAATCTCTAAAGACTGAAAATAGATCAGTAGTTGCTGGGAATTGGGAGAGGGGTAGGGAATGAGGAAGGAGTTCTAATGGGTACGATGTTTCTTTTTGCCGTAGTGATACCTGAACAACTCTGTGACTGTCCTAAAAGCCATTAAATTGTACATCTTAAATGGCTGAATTGTATGATATGGGAATATATCTTATTAAAGCTTTTGGAAAAACAAGTTGCTAGGCCTATTAAAATCATAAATTGGCATAAAGAGTGAAGTAATTATAAGGTACGCATACCCGTTGTTGTCCTGATTGTTTATAGCTTTCCTGATTACCATCTTCTGAGGAGAGATACCTAAATATCTGCCTGCAGCAAAGATACACTAGAAATACTGTACATATGATTGGTTCTTGCTTGCTGCTTTCTATCACCTCCTGTCTCCCAGTCACCCTTTCCTTCTCCCCAAATGTTAAAGTTACAATTTTCTGGACAATATGATGGGCAGTGATATATTTCTAAAGTTGTTATACAAAAGGGCCGCATTTTCACTTGGCTTGAAGTATCTTTTAGTTGTCAAGTGGCTTCTTTTAGTAATTTCTATTCATGGCCCTATTTTCGAAAAGTCCAAACTTTTTAAAAAACAAAATCCTTTGTATAGGTGGTATATATAATTAAATATTATTTAAGATTAAAGTAATTTAACAAATCTATGGGTGTGAATCAAGCCAGTAAGAATTAAACTTAAACTAAATTTGCTGTTTGCTTGAAACATCTTTCTATATGTCATTCATATTTCTACATATTTTAGTCAGAAATCCTGTTACTCAATTTATAAAAGAAGTTAAGATGATTAAAAGGAAATTTATAGATCTGAAAATACTTTTTGGAATAAAGAATACATTTTCAGTTGCTTCTGATAATATAACTAATAAGGTATATCAAAAGGTAAAATTGAACTCTCTGTATCCTGGGTGTGGTCTCCACTGGTTCCTATGGCATCAGTTTCCTCAGTCATTTTCATGTACAGCTGGGAACTTTCCACCTAGGTTCTCTCCATTTTTTCGCCCTTCCTTAATTTTTTTTTTTCAACGTTTATTTATTTTTGGGACAGAGAGAGACAGAGCATGAACGGGCGAGGGGCAGAGAGAGAGGGAGACACAGAATCGGAAACAGGCTCCAGGCTCCGAGCCATCAGCCCAGAGCCCGACGCGGGGCTCGAACTCACAGAGGGCGAGATCGTGACCTGGCTGAAGTCGGACGCTTAACCGACTGCGCCACCCAGGCGCCCCTCCCCCTTCCTTAATTTAAAGGGTATTCAAGTGTCATTGGAGAAAAGATTTGGGCACGTAAGTCCTACTATGATGAATTCATCTTCAACTGGCAAGCTAAGTCTTACCTATTGCTTGATAGCTTGATTTTTGTTAACTCATCTGCAAGCCATAAATATTTAACAAAAACTTTAGCAACTCTAACAAAGAGTCAGGTTAGATAGCAAGGCGAAGACTATTTTTAAAATGGTTATATTTGAGGGGCGCCTGGGTGGCTCAGTCGGTTAAGCAGCCGACTTTGGCTCGGGTCATGATCTCGCAGTCCGTGAGTTCGAGCCCCGCGTCAGGCTCTGTGTTGACAGCTCAGAGCCTGGAGCCTGTTTCAGATTCTGTGTCTCTCTCTCTCTCTGACCCTCCCCCGTTCATGCTCTGTCTCTCTCTGTCTCAAAAATAAATAAACGTTAAAAAAAAATTTTAAAAAAAGGTCATATTTGAGTAATTTAGCTTCTGCCTATGGCTATCACTGTCCCTTGTCTCCTAGTAAGCCCCACCCCCTTATTGGGTAAATGTATGCTTTTGATATATTATGTCCCAGAGTGACATTTTTCCTAATTCCAAACTTCTATGATTTTCAGGACATCTGTAACTAAGTATTTTTCAAAATTGGCACAGTTCAAAACTGCTTTTTTAAAGCAAAACTGCTTTAAAAAATTTCATAGCAATTATACCTTGGACTTGTGGTATTCAGTCCCAATTTCAAATACTCTATCCCACTGTCAGACTGTTTCTCATTTTTCTAACGTATACTCTAAACCAATGCTGTAAACCGAAAGGTGCAACATTAATAGAAGTATAATTCCATTCTCACTCATCCCATATTCTTAGGAGAGATATAAAGTCAATATCGAAGGTTTCTGTGACAGTGTGGTCATTTTTAGTTAGTCTTAAATTGCTAGAAGGAATAGTGGAGAAAGGAAATTATTTTCTACCATTTGACTCTAAGCTTGGTGGTAAAGGCATTTTAATGGCAGATTAGAGATACAAAAACTGTCTGGTATTTATGTAAGTTCTGCTAAGTGCATAATTATAATTTTGTATATCGATAAACACATATGTTGAAGAACTATACCTTTGTAGCTTGGTAAGTAATTTATTAATTTATTTAAAAAAAATTTTTTAGGGGCGCCTGGGTGGCGCAGTCGGTTAAGCGTCCGACTTCAGCCAGGTCACGATCTTGCGGTCCGTGAGTTCGAGCCCCGCATCAGGCTCTGGGCTGATGGCTCAGAGCCTGGAGCCTGTTTCCGATTCTCTGTCTCCCTCTCTCTCTGACCCTCCCCCATTCATGCTCTGTCTCTCCCTGTCCCAAAAATAAATAAATGTTGAACAAAAAAATTTAAAAAAAAAATAAAATAAAAATTTTTTTTTAACATTTATTTATTATTGAGAGACAGAGAGTGACAGAGCATGAGCATGGGAGGGGCAGAGAGAGGATGAGACACAGAATCTGAAGCAGGCTCCAAGCTCTGAGCTGTCAGCACAGAGCCCGATGCGGGGCTCGAACCCACAAACCACGAGATCATGACCTGAGCCAAAGTCGGACGCTTAACCGACTGAGCCACCCAGGCGCTCCATTGATAATTAATTTATAATGCAGTATGAATATAAAGAAAACCAGTAGATTTATAACTTACTTTCATAAGTTATACCTAATGTGACCCATAAAGCCATATTATTCAAGTGCAGAAGTTGCTCAAGAACAAAGTTATTCTCTTTTTCATCTCGAATACTCAGAACATGTGATTTTGGATCTGTTAAAAAAAAAAAATAGTCAATAATTTTAATAATTACTTATCTAGAACACTTTGATAGATTTAGAAAATTTTATTTCCTAGTTTAATAAACTCTAAAACAATATTGAAAAATAAGACAGATGTGTAAATTAAAACTATCTCATTGTATGAAAATGAATAGATTAATAAGTTTTCAAACATTTTGATGTTAAATTTTGACATTCTGATGTCAAACATTTTGATGTCTTATAGCCTAGTACAAAATTATAGCTGAGTAGAGACTTTAAAACATTGATTTGTTTCACTTTTCCTCCATTTAAATCTTGTTTCAAATTGGTACAAATTTACACTGGTAAAGATACACTGTCAAAAACTATAATAAATATAACCTCTTGGATGGTCTATATGCTAGATCTTTTTCTTTAGAGATCACTCTGATATTTGGATTATAAAAGTTTAATATTTCCCAAAGTGTGTCCCTCAGGAAATTAGCAGGAATTTCTCAGAAAAAGACTAGATGTATAAAAATGTCACAAACATTAATTAAACAAAGTTAAACTAGTTCATTTGTGCCTGTACTTCTTAAAGTATATGCTAATATATATTTGATAATGTCTAACAGGAAACAATGGCATGTAGTGTTTCTCAACCTTGCTCTTTTTCAAAGGATTCTTTTTTGTAGACTATCTCTCAAGACCAGTTTCTACATTTTTGGGAATAATGGTTTGATATTTTCCATAAGAACTTCCCACTGTTCCCAGGTCCACTGCTGAGAAGTCATAAAGCCTCAGTGGATCTCACCGACAATATCTGGAGAGTCCTGAGAGCTACAAGTGTGAAATATGCATTTCTTTTATGCAGAGCTCTTCTTCGCTTTCATTTACTCACCTGAGCTTTCAACTATGCAAATTTGCCTATTTTCACTTCGCCTGTAGCCTCGCTTGGTTGAACATCCAGTTCTCTGCTTGCTGGTGTCATTTCTGTGTCTTTTAAAGTAGAACTCATTTTGTTCATACATGTAAAGACAGACTGGTTCTCTAATGGATAGGTAAAGGAGTAGCTCCTATATTCTCCATTTTAACTAAACACAAATTTTAATTTTTTGTTGATAATGTAGAAATTAGGAGATGAGTATTTTTGAAATCTAGTCGCTAGTGCTAATTAAAAATATTTATAACACACTCAGGTAAGACTTGTTTTTTTAATGAACAAATGTAATGATTACTCATAAGTTGCTCAAGAACAAAGTCATTCTCTTTTTCATCTCAAATACTCAGAACATGTGATTTTGGATCTGTTAAATAAAAAATAGTCAATAATTTTAATAATCACTTATCTAGAACACTTAAGATACTTACTCAGATTCTGGCATTTAGAATGAACTTCATCTGGTGTTACTGCATGATATTTAGTCTTTCCTACCATGAAATTGTAGCAAGAGTTCTGAAATGGTATCCACGGAGTTGACAGAACGGGAGAGGGACACTGAACACTGTCAACCAGTTTGATCTCTTTTTCAGTCTCATCTGAAAAAATGACAATGGTAAGGATTCTAATCTTAGATGTAAATGTTAAATCCTGTTCAGAGTAATTAGGCTTGATGTGTAGGGAATATTCAGGAAGCCAATAAATAATAGCTTAATGATGCTTGTTCTGTTTATACTCAAATATAATGTGACCTCTTAACTGGGTTTCTGTAGGAAGGAGTTTATTTAACATAATTTCTTTCCCCTGCTGTGGAGTGAGTGGGAGAATATAAAACAATAGGTCCTATTAGGTTAAATGTTGTTTCTGTATTCTTGTATCACCAAACCTCAAATACAAGGGGCAACCTCAGAGACTACACAAGGATATTAATAATAGGCACCTAACTATAACTTTGGGAACTCATCTTTAAGTTTCTGGTTACTGGTATTTCTCTAATTTTAATTTTTTTACTGTTTATTTATTTTTGAGAGAGGGAAAGAGCACAAGCGATGGAGGGGCAGAGAGAGAGAGAGAGAGACAGAGAGAGAGAGAGAGAGAGAGAGAGAAAGGGAGAGAGGGAGGGAGAGAGAGAGAGAGAGAGAGAGAGAGAGAATCCCAAGCAGGCTCTGTGCCATCAGCAGAGAGCCCAATGCAGGGCTTGAACTCACAAACTGTGAGATCATGACCTAAGCTGAAGCTGGACACTTAACCAACTGAGCCACCCAGGTGCCCCTTTTCTCTAATTTTAAAGATAAATTTTAATTTTTATTTATTTATTAAAGGTACATTTTAATGAAATATGTGATGTTCTAAGTTGTTGCTTTAATGAAAGCAAACAGAAATAGTTGAAAATGTGATTATGGCTTTTATTATGAAAAAGACATAGACTCCAGGAGATGCAAATATAGATATACTCTATTCAAAGTCAACAAACAGATTTAATATGCAGTAGAGACCATCCAGCATGTCTCCCAGGTTGCAACAACTCCCTTTGGGAAGTAGTCTTTTCTTTCTACTGCAAACACACACATGTGGGCCTCTGGCAGTTGTAAAACTACTTTACTCTGACTGAGCTAGAGATTGCGTACCTTACTCTAGCGAGGTACATCAGATTCTAAGAATTTGGAAAGTATAATTTAGGGATAGTCAATCCATCTCCAGTTATGGCTATCATTGAAAGCTACAGAGCTGCCATGTTTTACCATGCACAGAGAGAAGCATAAAGTATATAAAAAGAAGAGTGCAGGTCTACAGAGAGAAACAGAAAGGCTAGGTGGGAGACAGTATCTCTGGGTTCCAGATTCCATTCAGTTTCTGATTCCCATTCTTCATGAGGCTCAGTGATATCCTCATTTTTGAGGATCTAAGTGTCCCTTTTGGCTTAAGCTGGCTTGAGCTGGTTACTGTTACTGGCAAACAAATGAATCTTAACAGTGACTCTTAAAAAGAAAGATTAGTTGTTGATCATAAGAATTACAAAAAAATAATTCTCACAAATATGAGTTTTCTATAGAACATAAACACAAAATACATACAAAATGAGACCAATGGGAGTTAAAACTCAAAGGTCAAGTACCATTGTCAGCTGACAAAAATAAAGATATAACATGTCTAAAATAACAAATCAATGACAAAGTATTTAATATATAATAATTCTACTTGAATTTTCACAACAAATTTTGTTGTAGAAAAAGAACGTGATTATAATTTCAAAGCCAGATTTTACAAAACCACCCCCCATAAATTAAAATATTTAAAATTAGCATACTTCCTGGATAGTAGCAAATAGCACCTGGTTGCTGATGCTCACAGTCAGATGTCTTCCAGAAACCATCAGTGTCTAAGATTACACAGTCTTCAAGTTGATTATTATTTTCAATCCAGCGGCTAAATTGAAGATGTTTCCCATCTGACCAACCATAGTTGAGTTCATCCTGTAAGCAGCCGAAATACAGTTCAAGTGGCAATACTTCATGTTATCTCCTTTGTATTATTTCAACCCTCATGCTCAATCTAATAACTTTTAATTTTATCTTATATTTAGCACATAGTTACACAGCACTTACCACGTGCCAGGCACTGTTCTAAGTGCTTTGCAAAGATTAATTTATTTAATCTTCCTAACAACCATATGAGATAGGAACTTTTATATTTCTTTCACAGATGAGGAAACTGAAGGCATGTAGTGTGCCCAAAGTCACATAGAATGTATACTGCAGTGCTGGGATTCTAATCCAGGCCATCAGGTGCTAGAGTCCATGGCCTGAGTCATTATGCTAGGCTGCCTCACACATAGTTGGGCAGAAAAACAATTATGTGGTAGTGGTGGTAGTGTAAAGAACACGGGCTCTGGGGCTACGCATATCTAGTTTTGAATTCTGGCTCAGTCCCATATTAGTTTTTGATTTTGAGTTTACCTTGCCAAGTTTCCATCCCCTCATCTATTAAACAGATATGACACTTAACCTCTCAGGGCTGGAATTCGTGGGGTAAGGTATAAAACATGTAACTCAATGGCCAGCTGGTGCACAGGAAGAGCTACATAAGTGTTGGCTCTCTCCCTCTAACCCTGACTCAGGCCTTATGGCTCTCACACTGTTATTTTTACACTTGTCTTTGTAGAAAAGCTTCCTCATTCACTAAACTCTATTGTGCACTAAAAGTCTATGAACATCTGTCTTTACATCCTGACAAGGGCCTGACCACCCACCTATCTTGAGAGAGGCTTTACAAAATTTTAGGTACAAAAGTCCAGGGTACAGACCTGTTTGGGCTTCCCCATGGTGCTGTCAGAGCGCCAGCCCTTATACATTGACCCAATGAACTAAGCTGTCCTGAGGCCCAAGACAATTCTGCATCCCTGGTTTATTTGGAATACTGGGCAAAGGCCACACACAGTATCCTTAGTGAACCATAAATAACAAACATGTTCAGGCTTCAATACCACCAACTGTTTCATTCTGAAAACTGTTCTCCACCAGAGTTCCAGTTGTAACCTTGTGGCCTAAGCCTCTGACCTCAAATGTGCCCTTTGGCCATGGGATGTTGCTTGCACTTGGTTATTACCCTGGATTTCTTCACCTTTGTTGCACTCACAGCAGGTCTTTGGAACTTCTATTCCTCGTAGATAAATCACCGCACCTTCTATCTCTCTGCTGAATGTGATCTCTCTTTGTTACGACTATAAGCGTCTCTTTACTAAATTCTTGACCTTAATTGATCTTAATCAAAACCTGCCTTTCCCAAGGGAATAAGTTCCTTTCAACACCCACAAGGGAAGGCTGTTTATTTTTCCATTCTCAGATACCGCAGGGCTATGAGAATGGGATAGCAGGTTATTTTTTTATCTCCTTCAGTCATTTCCTTTGAGGTTTATGCAAGCTTCCAGATTCTTTGCTCTCTCTGACATTCACTGAGGACTTGCCTCCTTATTCCCCCCTGATATTCACTGGGGAGATACCCCATGTCTTGCTCTGTCCTCTTGGTCCAACCATTGACTTACAGACATTAATGTTCATGTGGGTAATTCATCCAGCTCCCAAGCCTTCTTGACTTCCTCTCTTTCTATGTATTTCCACTTCTGTGTACTTGAGTGACCCACTGCCACCGCCACAGTCTGAACTTTATATAAACCAGAACTGCCGTGAGCCTTAGTTCAGGCCAACATCATTTCCTGCATGAATTTCTGTAAGAAATCTCCTGACTGCTCGCTTCCTTACCCACCCTCTGCCAGTATAATTCTTCTTAAGTAAAAATCTGATATTGTCACTACCAGGTTTAAAATCTTTCAATACCCTTCCATTGCTTTCAGTGTAAAATGTATCCTGTCCATGCTCCAAAGATTTAAGGCAGCTTATGCAAATACATAGTGAACAGCTACATAGAATATGTTAAAGAGTGAAAGAAAAAAGAGAAACATAGGTACAGATTGAAAATAGGATACGAAATAAGGCCAAAATCCTTCAGTGGTGAATAAAAAGTTACAAAATGGTATGATTCTAATTATCTTAAAAATATACATGTGCGTGCACCTAGGTGAGTCAGTTGGTTAAGTGTCAGACTTCGGCTCAGGTCATGATCTCACAGTTTGTGGGTTTGAGTCCCGCATCAGGCTCTGTGCTGACAGCTCGGAGCCTGGAGCCTGTTTCAGATTCTGTGTCCCCCTCTCTCTCTGTCCCTCCCCCACTCTCACTCTGTCTCCCTCTGTCTCAAAAATAAATAAACATTAAAAAAAAACACATGTGTACATAGAAAAAACTTGAGGGATATATGCCAGATTACTAAATCATATTTATCACTAGTTACTGGGATTATAGGTGATCTTAATTTTCTTTTAAAAATATTTACTATAAATTTACAAATTTTCCGCAGGGATGGTATTGCTTTTGTTTCAAAAGGTTAAAGGTGATTGAAACTAGGAAATGTAATACTTATTACTACCCTCACAAGAGACACAATGATGGATTTCACATAAACCCAAACACCGAAGAGGAAATAAATAAAAGCAATGTTATGAAAGAATTGATATAGTAAGTCTTAAAAACTAGTTCAAGCTGACGATCTGGCTCTGAGAGTCTCAGAGAAAACATTCTTCAAGCAATTTCTAAATACTAGTTTTAACTGAGCTTCTAGTACATGCTGGTGGTAATGAATCCAAAATTTGTCAAAGGTAATGTTTACTTCTGAGCCTATTTTAAGTTTTTTTCACCCATTCTCCAGTTCAACCCTGGGTGTGCGCTAGGACTAAATCACTTTCAATCACATTTTTTTTCCATGCAGCCCTAAAACCATCTTGGTATATACCACATTGGTATATTGAGGGTTTCCCCAAGGTATATATAACTTAGGTTTACTTCACAATGTAAGGTACTCTTCTGTCCTACTCTGCCAATTGCCTTCTCTCTGAGAGTGAAGAATACTGGTTTAGGGGACATTTATCTAACAAGGGCTTCACCAGTCATGCACTGTGCAGATGCAGGGGGCAGGGTTCACATCACAATCTTTGTAAATGGCACCCCCTATGCAGAGCATAATACATGCAGCCTCACATACCAGCCCTATATTTTACCCTTCAATACATCTCAGTGGGCATACATAGAGAGCCTAGAACAGAGACAAAAATGACCTACAATGCTGACAGAAATACTACAGCTTTATTTATTATTATTTTTTAATATACCTTTATTTAGAAAAATACTTATTAATTATAGCTAAATGCTTCAGAAGCATAAATGTTCCTGTTTATGTAACATGTTTGTAGCTTAGCACTGAGAATTAGCAGGAGACTAGTATTCTTTGCTGGGCTGTGAAATAAACTAGAAGTACTTAAGACATCTATCCAGGATCAGGCCTTGAACTGTGGTGAAACACTACTCTAATCCACTTTTAGAGAGGCTTAATTGTACTCTGCTGATTCTGAAAAGGATAAAAAGACTCTTCATCAGAAGCCACAGTACTTCTACACATTGGACCTCATCTGATTTAATTCTTCTCTTCCTCTCTTCTTTTCATTGGCTGGGGAGAGATGGCAGTTCCTGCTTCTAGCTCAGTCTTTTACTAGAATAAAAAGAAGTGCTCATCTACATATGTCCACTAGAACTTCTTCTTAATCTAAACAATAAAGCACCAGATCTTTCAACAGTGGAAAGATGACTACCACTAAAAATTATACACTTCATGAAATTTACTCACTGGAGTAAGATTTTACAACCTCTGGGTTCTTTTGGTCTGGTATGAGAAATGCTGTGTGCAACAAAAAGTTCACGTTTCGTCAGTCAATCCTGGCAGTTGGGACTGAAAACTTACGTCTCGACTGGAGAGTCCAATCCATAAAGAAGAGTTATGAAGGACCGTCTGCACAGTTAGGAACGCCTGCTGGTAAGGGTCTGTGATGCTCACCAGGTGCATGTTATCTTTCTGACACTCCTTCAGAGCATCAAACCAAGTCAGACTCTTCGGGATTATTTTGTACAAATTATTTAGATACTTTATAGTGTCTGAAGTATTCTGCAAGGTCTGTCTGCTTTCAATTTCTGTGTGTAAAAGAAAAAAAAAACACAAAAACCACCCACTCTGCAAGGCATGGGACATTTCTTCATTTCTCCATAAGTACTTTAGATATTACTTATCTATTCATTTATTTTAGATTTTCGTTGGGAGAACTAGGTACATCTTGGTGTATACCTTAGGCAAATATGTTTGAGCCGCATCTTTTTTTTTTTTCTAAAATTGGAACAAAATTGTTTTTGTTAATCTGATTTAGGAAGGAAAAAAGGTATAAGTAAAAGTAGGCTACAATGAGATTACCATTTCAGATTGGTATCAAATACCTCCTTTGTTTGAACTCCTTTAACAAGAGGAGGTGTTAGGTATTCCCTTACAAAGTTTTAATCTGGGAGAGCTCCCATGAAAAAAATGTACAAAACAACCCACAAGAGGATATATTGAATTATTATTTTACAGTACTTCCCTGAATAAAGCAGTTACTAAACAGTATGAGACAAATGACCATAGGTTAATTAAACAAAAAGTTCCTTAGAAGTACGTGGATTATCTACTTGAGGTTCTCATTACATGATAAAGCTTTTTAGAAATTTTATTTATTTTTTTTGTTTATTTATTTATTTTTATTTTTGAGAGAGAGAGAGGGAGGGGCAGAGGGAAAGAGAATAAGAATCTTAAGCAGGCTCCATGCTCAGCACAGAGCCCAACGCAGGGATCAATCCCATGGCCCTGGGATCATGACCAGAGAACAAATCAAGAGTTGAACATTTAAGTGGCTGAGCCACCCAGTCGTCCCCAAAGGTTTTTTTTTTTTAATCATTTATTAAGAACATTGTGATCAATGAAAACAATGTGATACTTTTGAAAAACATCTTTTTGAAAATATGGACCTCTTAAAAAAATTTTTTTTAACATTTATTTATTTTTGAGAGACAGAGACAGAGCACAAGCCGGGGAGGGGCAGAGAGCGAGGGAGACCCAGAATCCAAAGCAGGTTCCAGGCTCAGAGCTGTCAGCACCAATACTTAATTTTGATATTTAATTAGGTAAAGCAATGACACTTGAAAAAAAATCACATTCCATTTGAGATAATCTGACTCACTGAACCAATATGAGTTTAGCCATGTTGAAAATTTAGGGAAGCTGTATGTTTACAAATTAATATTAATTCATTTATAAGATTTTCATGAAAAAGTAGTGTATATATCTAACAGCATAAAGTACCATAGTTATCTAGATGATAATTCATACCTGAATATCTCTGACAGAGAGACAGAGTGTGGTGCTCACTGCAGGAAGTAAAATTCCATGTCCCAGTATAAGGCGACTTTTCGAGGTTGAGCATTAGAGCACAGTGGTATTGGGACTCTTCCTCAAAAATCTAAAGGAAAAGGCAAATATGTACAAATAATCATGAAACTACCTGTCTGAAGATCCCAGCAAGAGAACTTTATATTCCAAATTGGATTTTTCGTCCTATAAAAATTTCATTAAGGAGCTGACTGTGAAATCACAAGAAAATCCTCCAAAACTTCCAAAGAATGGGAAAAGGGCAATTAACTTTAGAAATTATAAAACAGGGGCGCCTGGGTGGCGCAGTCGGTTAAGCGTCTGACTTCAGCCAGGTCACGATCTCGCGGTCCGGGAGTTCGAGCCCCGCGTCGGGCTCTGGGCTGATGGCTCAGAGCCTGGAGCCTGTTTCCGATTCTGTGTCTCCCTCTCTCTCTGCCCCTCCCCCGTTCATGCTCTGTCTCTCTCTGTCCCAAAAATAAATAAA